GGAGGGAGGGAGGGAAGGAGGGAGGGAGGGAGAGAGAGAGAGAGAGAGAGAGAGAGAGATTGATTCTCAGGTGATGCACCCCAAATCGGGCTCCTTCCTCTCTGGTTCCAGGTGTGTCACCGCAGCTCCTGTGTTAAGTGCCTGCCACTTGGTGGTTCATAGGGCACGTCATATCCATCAGTTGGAGTATCAGCCTCCTTGTGGTCATTAAGTGTCATAGCTACCAGTCAGACAGTTGCTAAGGCTTTTATATGTACAGTATAGATATTTTTAGTAAATAAAAATTATCAGATCATCTATCACTCTTGTCTCCGAAAGTTCTATGATGCAATTAAAAATTATTTTGAAACATATGCAACAATCATAATTTGATATCTAAATGTAACTTCTATTGATGATAAAGTCACATGTACTGCTAATACTGCTCTCAATTGTTGCCTCTGTTCATAACTAAAGGAAATGCTATATTTCAGTTAGAAATTAGTAAAAAAATGATTTAAGTTTTCCCATCCAAATTCACTGAACTCCTGATTCAGAAACTGCCTGATATTACTTTGTCATTTTTTAATATATATTTTATTGATTTTTTTACAGAGAGGAAGGGAGAAGGATAGAGAGTTAGAAACATCGATGAGAGAGAAACATGGATCAGCTGCCTCCTGCACACACCTGACTGGGGATGTGCCCGCAACCAAGGTAATGGCCTTGACTGAAATCGAACCTGGGACCTTTCAGTCCACAGGTCTGATGCTCTATCCACTGAGCCAAACCGGTTTCGACATTACTTTGTCATTTTAAAAAAATATATTGTTATTGATTTCAGAGAGGAAAGGAGAGAGAGCGAGAGAGAGAGAGAGAGAGAGAGAGAGAGAGAGAGAGAGAGAGAGAGAGAGAAAAGAAAAAAAAAACAATGATGAGAGAGAATCAATTGGCTGCCTCCTGAATGCCTCCCATTGGGAAATGAGCCTAGAATCTGGGCATATGCCCTGACCGGGAATTGAACCATGACTTCCTGGTTCATAGGTCGATGCTCAACCACTGAGCCATACCAGCAGGCTTGCTTTATTATTTCTAAGAGTAAGATATTTGCTTGTTCAATTCTAAATTATTTGGGCTTCTTTTACTACTTCTGTGCTTTTTATACTTTAATTGTTTTACAACGTTGGAACAACAATAATTGAAGGCTTGGGTGAAAAGAAATTAGCAACTGATTAGAAATGAGAGATTTCAACAGAAGCTCTTTTTAAAAAAATATATTTTATTGATTTTTTTACAGAGAGGAGGAAAGAGGGATAGAGAGCTAGAAACGTCGATGAGAGAAAAACATCGACCAGCTGCCTCTTGCACACCCCCTACCGGGGATGTGCCCGCAACCAATGTACAATACATGCCCTTGACCGGAATCAAACCTGGGACTTTTCAGTCTGCAGACTGACGCTCTACCACTGAGCCAAACTGGTTTTGGCTCAACAGAAGCTCTTGATAATATTACCTCAAGATAGACCATCATGCATTCGTTGGACCTTCACCTCTGTTAATTTAGTAATGCTTAAGTCTGTAAACGTCAGTAAAATTTAGATCACCTACATTAAACAATATTATAGTTCTGTCTTGTACAAGTGTCTACTTATATGTTTCACGAGGGAATTTGTCTATTGACTCCTGTGACTTTTGCAAAACTCTTTCTAGTGCTCCCACTTTCACCTTAAATGGGTCCTTGCAACATCCCCCTGGAAGAGCAGGATGGGGTTTCACATCTCCATTTGGAGTTCGGAAGCAGTCTCGAGAGGAGAGGCCAGCCGGGGCTCGGAGACTTGAGGAATGCATCGGAGTGAGGAGCGCTGAGGTGGGGACAGTGCCTCATCTCCATCCAGCTCTGGAAGCAGATCTCCAGGGCCCTGGGGCAACCTAATTGTGGTGCCCACTTAGCGTTCTCCAACTCAGAGTTGAGCCTTGGGGTTAGAGGCAGTCCCAGGCCTCAAGCGGATCTCTTTGTAGTTGTAGACAGACTCTGGCATCCAGAAATAATACCAAAAATCGTTCCCATATGTGCACTCACTTTATCCTCACAACTGTGAGGTAAGTATTCCTATCCCCACTCTTCAGATGAGGACACTGAGACTTAGAGAGGCTGTGATTGGCCACCTTAAATTAGGTATTATTAGTTTGGCAGAGTCTGGATGAAAACCGGGGCCTGTCTGACACAAGCTGGGGTTTGCTGATCTCATGTCCAGAAGGTCACCTAGCCACAGCCAGACTAAGATGGAGTGCTGACCATAAGAAATACAGGGGAAAGTAAACTCAGGGGAGCAGGGAGAGTGGAAGAATGCTCATGAAGTGAGACTTTTACCTGGTTCTGGGCAAGAAAGAGGGAGCCAGCCGAAGGTCACTCTAAGCAAGTGACAAGCTATCGACTGGGAGAGGGAGGTATAATCCATGTAACAAATTATTTGAATTCAGCATCAAGAAACCTGTAAATCAATAAGAACAAGACAAACCACCCATTAAAAAAAGTGAGAGCCAAAACTGGTTTGGCTCAGTCGGCCTGTGGACTGAAAGGTCCCAGGTTTGATTCTGGTCAAGGGCATGTATCTTGGTTGCAGTGGGGGGTATGCAGGAGGCAGCTGATCAATGTTTCTAATTCTATCCCTCTTCCTTCCTCTCTGTAAAAAAAATCAATAAAATATATATTTTTAAAAGTAGGAAAGAGATGTGTAAAAGAAATTCACCAGGTAGGAAACCCATAAGCAAAGGGCAGCATAGAGTAGGGACAGGGCTTTTCAAATTGTGCTTTCAAATCTCCTGGGGGGGTCTTGTTAAGATGCAGGTTCTGGTTTGATACGTCTGGGGTGAGGCCCACCTCTAACCAGCTCCCAGATGATGTGGATGCTACTGGTCCGAGGACACTTTTGAGTGATATGGGTGTGTGGGTAGAGATAAAGATGTGAACCTTTTAGCCAGGCCCGTATCCTGGCTCTGCCACTTCCCTTCCTTTCTCCCCCCCTTTTCCCTTCTTTCTTTCTTTCCTTCCTTCCTTCCTTCCTTCCTTCCTTCCTTCCTTCCTTCCTTCCTTCCTTCCTTCCTTCCTTCCTTCCTTCCTTCCTTCCTATTGTTGACAATATTATAGATGTCCCCCATATGCCACTTTTCAACTGTAAACCTTGGTAAATAATTTAATGGCTCTGTGCCTCAGTTTCCTCATCTGTAAAATGGGGACGATAATAGTCCCCATCTCTGTGGCTGAGAGGACTAAATGACTTAATGTAAAGCATGCAGTACCGCACGTGGCAAAGTAAGTGCTCAATAAATGCTACGGATTGGTAGCAGCAGCAGGAAGAGAAAGAGAGAGGCCAACGAGCCACCCTGAGATGCCACTTCACACCTCTTAGGCTGGAGGTATCAGAAAGTCTGATAGTTTCAAGGCTGGGGAGGTAGAAACACTCAAACCCTCACAAACTGGTGCGGTCACGGGAAGTGCTTGGGAAAGGGACCACGATTGGGGGAAGAAGAGAGTCCTTCAATTTTGCTCTGTTCAACGGGAAACAATGTCTGAAGTGAAAGTGACTAAATTTTAACATTTATTAACTCTGAATGGTGGCTACATGATCATTTGTTACATCATTTTTTGTACTTTTCTGGAGTTTTGGGAACTTCCTTTTTGCTCCCGCTAGAGGTTTATCCGGACGTGAGTCAGGTCCTCCACGAGCCCGGCAGGGTGGGGAGGAGGGGTCCAGTGCTGCCCAAGTCCTTCCTTCTCCTCAGTGAAGCCTGGCTGTCCCTCCAGGGAGTTGGGGGGTTGAAGCAGCAAGGCTTCTCCTCCATCTTGGCCAGGACCCCCTGCTGCCCTTCACAATGGGGTTCTCAGGAGGGCCTGAGCCCAGGATTCCAGAGGAAGGGACATTGTCACACTCCTGAAGGATCTCCTCATCAAGAAACACAGGAATCACGGGATCAGGAGGGCCAGAGATCGAAGGGCAGAGTTGGCCCAGAAATGGCAAATGGCCATCATGCCCGACACCACGTTCACTCCTACACCCTCCGCAAGACATCGCTGGCCAACCCTCAGCCCCGAGTCCTGACCTCAGAATCCACCTGAACCCCGAGTTTCAGAGCCCTCTTTCTTCTACACCCAGCTGCCGCTGCACGCAAGATGAGATCTACCGGCACTTAACGTCTTCAGCGGGTGCTCTGCCCTGTCCATCCCCAGCCCTTTTCATTTCAGGCTATGGCCTGGCTGGCAACTGCCAAGGCTGCCATCCCTTTGCCTGAGCAGGCCAGGGATGCCGGGAACTACCACCCCGGGCAGTTCTCAACCCAGGACTGGCAGGAGCTGGCAAATAAATGCCCTAGTTCCCTCACCCTCAGGAACTGATTATGGGATCCCCAAATGAAGACACCCCCTACATCTAGTCTAATTATTCTATTTTCTGGACCAGGGAACTGAGGCTCAGAGAAGGGGAGTGAGGGGCAGGGGCCCGTTCTCCTGACCTTGCCGTCAGATGCAGGGTGGGGAAAGGCGGGGCAGAAGCAGGGCCCTCCAGCCCTTTCCTCAGCCTGGGAGGCAGCCTGGGAGGCCCTGCCCACAGGAAGGGTGCGGCCAGGTAGGGCCTTCTGTCCTCCCTCCCCCAGGCTGCCCCTGGTGACAAGGCAGGGAACCGGAGCTGAAGTCTACACATCAGCTCCCGTGCCCAGAGACGAGAGCTGGGAGCCAGGCGCCGGAGGCATGAACAAGATCTTCCCCCGGGTGAGAGGGGCCTGGGCTGGCTCCTGACCTGGGGAAGCCAGCCCAGGGAAGGACGGGTGCTGAGTTAGCTCAGTGCCCCCTGCTCCCGAGGGGGCGCGTGGGGGAGGGACCCATCCGCATGATGGGAGGGGGCGTCAGGGAAAGCCTCCCCCCGGAGGGGCCGCCTGAGCTGGTGTGAGGGGTGAGTGTTTAGCAAGTGGACAGTGGGGGCAAAGTCCTCCTGGGCAGAGGGCACGGTGCAGGCCAGGGTGTGGGGATGGGAAGCAGGCATGAGGAGTTTTCTGTGAGGGACCAAGGGACCAAGGTGGCTTCTCTGAAAAACTCCTTGGTGCGGCTCCATGCAGCAGGACCTCGCTCACCTCCGCCCCCTCCTCACTGTTCTCCTGAGCAGGGGGACATCCATGGCGCTGCTGCTGCTGGGACCAAAGTCCTCCCAGGAGAAGGTAATGCATGGAGGGCCTGGGGTCCCCTGAGGTTGAGCCGTTGCTACGGAGGCAGAGATAGAGCACCCTCAGGCTCCCACTGTCCCTCAGACGTCCATGTCCTTCCCTCCCCCCTTCCTGGTCGGCCTGCTGACAGCCACCTCCTTCCTGTGTGTCTGTCCTGGGTGGTGCCACCCATCTGTGCTCATTTCCAGCCCTGGCTCACGATGGGCGTGGCTGTGGGACAAATTAATGGCTTCTTTTCCCACCTGCCCCGAGGAGGGTGGCCCTGAGCGCAGCATCTTCCTCTGGGCACAGGCCTCGGTTCTGCCGGCGCCTCCTGTGGCCCCTCCCGCCCGCGGCCTGGGCTGCACACACGTTTGGGGAGTGTCTGCTTGGCTGACTGGGACACGCCTCCTGCCCAGCCTCCCACCGTCCTGACTCCCTGGTTACCTGAGTTTACCCCGTTGTTTGCTGACAACAAGGAAGCCACCGACCGGGGCTCCTGAGGGTTATTGGTTTTAGATTTATGCTGTCGATCCTACTGTTTGTCTTCCTTCCCAATACACACCCATTCCAGGGTCCAGCCACACCAGGCCACTGCTGTCCCCCACACACCCCACACGTGCTCCTCCTCTGCTCTCTGCCTGGAATCTCCTCTCTCTGCACGCTCCCCTCACCTGCTCGTGGAAACCCACCCTCCTCTGAGCACGGAGGCACCATGCTCACCCTTCCTTCACCACACTCACTCCCCGGCCTGGCAGCTGCGCAGGGACAGGTCTGACTAGTGGGCGAGCAGAACAGGCAGCTCCACCAACATGAGTGGGTTGGATGGAAATGCCCTGAACTGACGTCAAGTGGGGCCCTGTCCCCGTGTCAAAGTATTCACAAAGCACCTACTGTGTGCCTGCCTCTGGGCTGGACCCTGGGGAGAAAGCTGCATCAGAGCTGTTCTCCTTTCTCTGAAATAACTGGGGCCCCGAGGACAGCAGATGTAGCCACGCTCCTCTTTTAACCTGCATGCTTTGCCTTCGACGTGCAACTATGATACAAACTCTCAGAGGGCAACAGCCTGAGCCATGACTGCCTTTGTGTCTTCCACAGAGCGGGACACCTACCCGTGTTTCCCCGAAAATAAGGCATCCTCCGAAAATAAGACCTCGCGCATGGAACGATAAGACATCCCCTGAAAATAAGACCTAGCGCAACTTTGGGAGAATAAATTAATATAAGACGCTGTCTTATTTTCGGGGAAACAGGGTAGTAGGTTCCCGGTAAAGCTTTCTTTCGTTATAACACAAGCAAGCAAAAATTAAAGGAGCCAAGTAAGTTAAGGGAGCAGGATGTCTCCTATTACTGTTATTTCCCTAGGATACGGCTTGGCACATGATAGGCTCTTAATAAATACTAACGAAGCTAAAACTTTGCCAAAACCGGTTTGGCTCAGTGGATAGAGCGTCGGTCTGAGGACTGAAAGGTCCCAGGTTCGATTCCAGTCAAGGGCATGTACATTGGTTGCGGGCACATCCCCGGTGGGATGTTTCTAACTCTCTATCCCTCTCCCTTCCTCTCTGTGAAAAATCAATAAAAAAATAAAATTTAAATAAAAAAAAAAAGCTAAAACCTTTATAGCACTTGCTCAGTGACCAGCCCTGTTTTAACATGTTAACTAGCTCATCCTCTCAACAACCCTACGGAAGGCAGGAAGGGACAGCACGGAGAAGCGAGTGGCGTCTCCGTGGGTCCCGGCTGGGACGCGGGGGAGCCGGGCTTCCCTCCAGCCTCCTGGCAGCTGCAGGAAGGACCACACGGGCATCGTGGGACGGGCTCTGGCTGTGATGGCTAACAAGTGTGAACTCACATCCCAGCTCCGCATACCGTGATCCCGAACCCTGTCCTCTCTGAGCCTCGGCTTCCTCGTCTACAAAATACTGTTTTGAAAAATAAAAATAACGGCTCTGGAGGGCCTGCTATAGTTTCTGCCCCGTGATAGGGGCTCAAAGAGCAGGTGTCCATCTTCCCCTGCCTCCTGAGGAGACATCCCTGTGGAAGGACAGGCGTGGGAGGGCAGCGGAGCAGAGACCGGGGACCCTCATCCCAACCGCCACCCGCTGGCTACAGGACTGGCGCCACAGGCAGAAATGAGAGCATCATAGCAGGCTTAGGAACCCCCTCCTCCAGGGAACTGAGGTGGAGACGGGCCAATTCCAGGAAGAGCCGGAGGAGGGGGCGCCCTGGGCCCCAGCGCTGGCCGCTCCGTCACTGGTTTCCTGCTCCTCTCAGCAGGCTGCGTGGCCCTCTGCTGCTCCCGCCGAGGGGCCTGCCTCTCAGCCTTCGTGCTGCTCCTGCTGGCAGCTGTCGCGGGCCTCATCGCCTTGGTCGTCATCCTCGGATCCCCACCACATACACCAGGTCAGGGTGGTCAAGTGTGGGCGGGTCAGACCTGCTGCGAGAGGGCAAGGGGCCCAGAGAAATGGGGGCACCCTGACCCTGACTGTCTTCTCCAATGAAGTGTCTTTTAGACCATTCCTCAGGGTGTGTTTTGTCTCCATGTACACATCTGTAATGTGTGCTATTGAGAGCTCTGATGACCCACTTCCTCCAGGAAGCCTGCCCTGACGCCCAGGCTGGGTTCGAAGCCTTGTTGCGGGCCCCACGGCCCCCTGGCTTCCTCGTCCCCTGGCCTGGCTGTCCCGGTGGTGCCTCCGTCACACAGGATGGGAATGTGTGAGGCCCCCCATGGGCCCTGCCCTCACGGAGCTAACAATTTGGGGAGCGACATAAACATGAATCAAATAGGCACTTTAAGGCAGGGTTCATGGGGTCTGGAACAGGGCCTCTGGCCAGTCCTCTGACGGGCACCTTGAAAAGGGAAAGGCAGCTAAGGCACGAAGGGGTGGCAGGAGGAGCACCAGAGCCCAGGGAGCACTGTGTGCGGAGTCCCTGGGGCGGGAGGAACCGTGAGGAGAGAGACTGCAAGGAGGCCGGCAACTCGCAGGGCTGGAGCAGGGGCAGGGCCTCAGAGGCTGCCCTGGGGAGGGAGAGAGCCATGGGAAGGGACTGAGCGGGGCGAAGGGTGTCGCCACATGGACCTTTCTGACACATGGCTCTGTAGCCAGGCTGGGGGCTGTAAGTGGATAAGGTGGGTAGGGGGTAAATCTAGTTCTCTACATGCCTGTGCTCTCTACATGAGCATTTAGGGAAAATATGCACACAAGAGGAGCTGCATTCATGTGCCTGTATACACGTGTGTCTCTGTGTTATGAGTCTATGTATGCATGCATGTGCCCATGTGCTTGTATATATCTCTGTGCTTGTCTGTACACACGTTTGAATCGCGTATGTGTGTGTGTGATAATGTGAGAATTCCCGAGAGTGAGATCCCCTCATATAAGCTGAGGCAGTTCTGGGAGCTAAGACATGGTTCACACGTGCCCCAGACATGCAAGCACAAACCGCTCTCATCTCCCGCCCGCACACATGTGTGTACACACGCATGGCCTCGGAGCCGGGTGGCCTCCCAGCTCATCTGACAGTCTCTCTCCTTTAATCCTTTGGAGCAGCTCTGGGGGTGGGTGCCCCCTGGTGGGATGGGAGGAAAGACTCTCAGAAGGACAGGCATGTCAGATGGTGCCCGCCATTCCTGGACGCCGGCGAGGCAGCCCCAGCCTTGGGAAAGAGCGAGTCACCGGCCTGGTTATTAGCTGTCGCTGGCCTGTCTCGCCGCTCTGAGCCTTCCCTCTCTCATCTGTAAAATGGGGATAATGTGGACACTCAAAGGGGTTCGGGGAAGCAACAGGATAAAAATGTGAAAGTGCTTTGCAGACGATGAGGCTAGGTCCGGGTGTGAGGAATGACGGCAGAATGAATGGTCGCCAGGCCAGGCCCAATATATTGTTTCTGAGAACCGAGCCTGGTGCCCAGGGCCCCACCGTTAAAACCACTTCGTGGACTGAGCCCGGGCCTCTGAGCCGCCTGTGAGACTGTGAAGAAGCTTCCAGGAGAGGAGGGAACCATGACTTACTCGGCACAGTACGTTCTGGGGTGTGTAAGTCTCCCCAACAGTCCTATGGTGTGTACTATGGTCCCCATTCTGCAGACAAGGAACAAGAGGCTCAGAGAGGTGGAGCCATTTGCCCAAGATCACTCAGCTGGCACGTGATAGAGCTGGAATTTTGGGCTCATGCCCCAGCCCCCAGTCCAGTTCCGGTGGGTCTTGGGTGCGGGAACCTGGTGATGCCCTGGTGAGCACACCCTTGACCCTCCGGGGCCTCCCCGCCCGCTCAGGGGCCCAGGCCTGTGTGACGCTGGCAAACAGGACCGGCTTCCTATGCCATGACCGAAGGAGCTGCGTCCCGGCCAGCGGGGTCTGTGATGGCGTCCGCACCTGTCCCCACGGCGAGGACGAGGATGAGGCCTTGTGCCGTGAGTACCCTCCCAGCCCTGCCCCTGCCCTGGATGGGCCTCCCAGGCCCTTTGGGGGTTGCCTCCCACTTCCAGCTATCCCTGCAGCCAAAACGAGGCTCAATTGTCCCTGAAATTACCAGGCACCTTTGTGTCCTCAGTCCCTCAGCCAGGAACACCTGCCCCGCCCACACACAGAAGCACGTGCCCACCTTAGGGAATGCCTTCACTCTGTGCGTCTCCGTGCCCTGAGAACCTGTGTTCAGACTTCATGGCAGAGTTCAAGGGTTGCCTCCACCAGGAAGCCTTCCCTGACTCTCAGACTAGGGTAAGACCCCTGCTCTGGGCTCCCATGGCCCCTGTGAGTCCCTGGTCCCAGCCCTGGTCACCTTGGTTGACACTTCCCGTTGGCATCATCTCCATGACCATCAGACTGTGAACTCCTCCAGGGCAGGCCTGGTCTGCTTGACTCCGGAGTCCCAGTGCCTGATGCAGGGCAGGAGTCAGAGGGGTATTCGGAATGGTTTGCTGAATGATTGATAGAATGGGAGAATGAGAGAATGAATGAATGAATGAATGAATGGGAAGATCTTGGCCCAGACCTTCAAGACCTGACAATAGATTCTCAGGAGAGAGGAGCCAGGGCACTTTCCATGTCAGAGGAAGAGAACTTGGTAAGCTGATGTGGGTGGAGTAGGGGCGCTAATGAGGGGAGGGAGAGATCTTAAAAGTCATCTAGTTATGTCCCAGCCCATGCCTAAATCCCCTCCACAACAAACCCCACACAAGCCACCCCGCCTCTGCCTGCAGACTCCCGGGATGGGAGCTCCCTGCAGCTTGAGGCAGCTGCTCCCACCACTGCATGTGTTTTCATGGGAATGTCTCCTCCTGGCATCCTCGATTGGTTCCAACTCTGACTTCTCATCAACCCCCGTCCCCCATGAACCACATCATAATCTGTATCCACGGTGGTGGCACTGCATGAATTCGGCGAGTGCATCCCCACCCCCATATCAGTGTTCCCTTTCCCTGGGCCACACTCTGAACTCCCAGTCACCCCCCTTGCAAGTGGTCTTCCCCACTCTCCCCGCACCCCCCAGAACACATACCAGCTGGCGCCTCCCTCTCCACGGGCAGCTCCACTGTGCTCCTGGCACTTCTGACGGGCTCCGGGCTCCGGTTAGTCCAAGGAGCAAAGGCTTTTCCCCTCCCGAGTCTGTGCTGTCCCTCTAGGGACGTGGCCTGAGTTTGTGTTAAGTTCTGGCAGCTGTGCCATCCCTGCTGCCTAACACAGAATCCACTTTCGAGAAAGGTGCTGGAGTCCCTCTCACCAGGCATGTGAACTCACATCCTCTCTGAGGTCTGGGACCCACGGGCAGGACTTCGCGTTTACGCTTGTTGTGTTCTGGCTGGAGAAGGCTCCCCAGAGGTAAAGGAAGAGGAATGGACTTGAAGGAGACTGGTTTTGGAGGGTGTCAAAGAGGACCTCGCCAGAGGAAGGAAAGGGCGGGCAATGGTATAGGGTGGGGATGCATATTTATGAGCTGCATAAGGAATGAGGGAGGGAGAGGCAACTCGCTGGGCCTCTTGTTGGATATACAGGGAACGAACATGTCTCTCCTTTTGACCCGACCTCCTTCCTCTCCAGGAAGACCTTTTCCTCATGCCTTTCCTGGGATAGAGGCATGGTGACCCTGAGTCCGGCAACTGCCAAGGTGGCTTGGACAATCCACCTCCAGATAGCCTCCCCACCCCCAACCACATCTTGATCCTTGACAGCTGTGGCCAGATGTGGACTCCTCCCGCCTCATCTGTCTTCTGTAGGAGACGTGCCCCAGCACCTCCCGGGCTTCCTTGTGGCCCGCTGTGGAAACCCAGCTTCCTGGATCTACTCAGACCAAAAGTGTGACGGGACCAACAACTGCGGCGACTGCTCGGATGAACTGAGCCCAGGTGGGGGTCTGGGCACAGGCTGGGCCGGGGCAGGTGGCCAGGCAGAGGCCAGAGAGCAGAGGTTGACCAGGGAATCGCTGAGGTTCTCCCTGCACCTCCTCCTTGCATTCTAGAAAGATGGGAGATAAGGCACACCGCCAGCCTGTGTCAGGTGGGATGGGGGGCTCTGGGGAGCTATGGCGGCTGTCAGAGCTAGGGGTGCCCTAGGCATTCCAGGACCCCACAGCGGCTCTTTTGTCGGCTCGTGTCCCTCCAGTGACCACATGCCCACCCTGCGGCCCTGGGTGGTGGCGCTGCGCCCCTGTGGTCTTCAGGTACTGTGACTGCATCCCGAGGAGCCTCTGCCGGGACCGCGTGCAGCACTGCTCCGACTGGTCTGACGAGCACCTCTGTCCTGGGCCCTGAGCGGCAGCGGGCAGAGCAGGACGCTGGCTGGACGGCACCGGTGAGCCTTCCTTCCCATGAGCTTCCCCCCGAAGAACGTGAGGGCGGGCAGGAGCCATCGAGACCACCTAGTGCCGTGGTCGGCAAACTGCAACTCGTGAGCCACATGCAGCTCTCTTTGGCTTGAGAGTGGCTCTTCCACAAAATACCACGGACTGGGCGAGTCTATTTTGAAGAAGTGGCGTTAGAAGAAGTTTAAGTTTAAAAAAATTTGGCTCTCAAAAGAAATTCCAATCGTTGTACTGTTGATATTTGGCTCTGTTGACTAATGAGTCTGCCGACCACTGAGTCCTAGTGGGATCGACACACTATTATCTATGAGTAAGACTTGCCTGTCCTGCTTTCAAGATGTTCACCGTCTCCTTGAATGCCTCCAGGGACAGAGAGCTCGCTAGCATGTTAGCTCCTAACAAAAGCGAGGGGGGTCTGCCTCCGTGGCTCTGGGCGGCCTGTGGGTCACCCAGAGCAAATCCGCTCTGTCCCAAGGCAGACGTGCAGAGCCTGACCTCACCGCCCCTTAGAGAGAAGACAGGTCTGGGCTCGAACACCACGCTGAGGACTTTCGCCCTAATGTGACGAGTATGCCTTTGCCTGTCTCTGTGGTACCCGCGGCAGGCATGCTGGGCTGGTCTACAGCCTTAGCATCTTCCTCGTGGCAGTAATCCTCCCAGGCCTGCCGGCTGGTCCCATGAAATTGCACCTGAGATGGGGCTTTGTCATCCTGCCAGAGGGAGCCATCCAGGAGGCTCTCAGTTGTAGAGTAGAAGGAATGGAGAAAGAGAAGCCCTCTGTCCATTCTGTTCTTCACCCCACCACGCCCCTCCCTCCACCCCGGGCCCAGTGCCCAGGCAGACAGCCCAGTCCTTCCTTGTTGTAAGGATTGTATTTTGATCCCAGAGCCTGAGTGAAGGAGTTCTTTCTCTGCAGAGCTTTTCAGCTTCACCCAGACAGACAAGGACGGATGCTCCCATTAAACAGATAAGGAAACTGAGGCCCAGTGGGAGAAATTACTTGCCTAGGATCATACAGTAAAGTCAGTGGAACTTTAACATAGTTTATGGCAGTGGTTCTCAACCTTCTTAATGTTGCGACCCTTTAAGACAGTTCCTGATGTTGTGGTGACCCCCAACCATAAAATTATTTTCTTTGCTACTTCATAACTGTAATTTTGCTACTGTTTTGAATCATAATGTAAATATCCGTGTTTTCTGATAGTCTTAGGTGACCAGCTAAGAGTCAGTGGGACTCTGTAATTTTGCTACTGTTATATCTGTGTTTTCCTATGGTCCCACTGACCAGCTAAGAGTCAGTGGGACCAGCGACCCACAGGTTGAGAACTGCTAGCAGGGTCATAATTATCTCTTGGTTTGTGGGCCAAGGGATAGAGATGTGCAGAGTCCCTGTGGGGTGTTTTTAAAATTAGCTTCAGAGTCAGAAAGTATCCCATCCTTATTCCGAAAGAGAGACTTGAAATCGGGTCAACAAGAGTGTTCCTGTTGAGGGAGACAGACATAGCCCCATGGAAATTAATAAAATCAGTTTCATGCATCAGTCTCATGTGAGTTTTGAACTGAAAACGGGCATCTGAGAGACAGGTGAGCTCTGCTCCATCCATCACTCACCGAACAGTCCCTACGCACCCGCTCTGGGCCCCGCGCAGCACCAGGCACCCGGAGTGAGGACACTCGGGTCCCAGCACATGAGGAGCACAGGGTCTCACGAAGGGGGCAGCTCACCCATGGGAGGGTGGGGGTGCAGGAAATGCTGGCAGCCTCGGGGGGCAGGACACCGTCATGTTCCTGACCCTGCTGCACGGAGGACCCGCTCCTGGAGCAGGGCACCTCGGGGGTCCTGCCTGAGGGATGCTCAGCCCTGCGCCGGGCACCTTACGCTGAGTCTCTCTCCAACTGCAGCACAAGTGAGGCGCTGCGGGTACACTCGGGGCATCCTGGGTTCTGACCACCGATCCAGAGGTGCTTCTTCCCCAGAGGAGGGCCATTCAGGCTGGTTGTGGAGGGAAGGAGAACTTCCAGTGGTACAGGTGCAAGCGAAGGGCATTCCCAGCTGGAGGGCCGTGTGAGCGAAGGCGTGACTGTGCGCCAGGGTGTGGCTCCACCGGGGAATGCCAGCAGGCGCGGGCAGCCAAAACATCAGTGGGGTTGGTGGGGCCGTAGGAGATGAGGAGGTTAGCAGGGACGTGATTCTGGAGGGCACAGCAGGTCACACTTCATCCTTCAGGACAATGGCCATCAGGCATGATAAACAGCAGCAGCTACATCTACCAGGGTTACAATGACCTTCAATTACAACAGTTCGAGAAAGACACGCCAGGATTGGGACCACGGAGGCAGAGAAGAGGAGATGTCGAGGGCTACTTACTGATGGAGCATGGAGCACTTACACTGTAGGGGTGTCGAACTCAATCAGAGAAGGGGACAAAATCTAAAATCCAGTCTAAATCGCAGGCCGAATGGTTTACTGAACAGTCATAAACTGTCATTGTGATGGAAACGCAGCGGAGTGCAGTGATGACAGCGCGGTGCGGGCCACATTGCAAGGCCTGGCGGGACGGATTTGGCCCGCGGGCCTTGTGTTTGACACATGTGAAGAGTCAGGGGGTGCGGAGGGAGAGGGGGTGTTCAGAGGCCTGAGAAGGAGCCCCTGGCCGCCCTCCCTGGGCCATGCCTTCTCCAACAGGGCGCCTGTCTCCAGGGGAAGAGAGGGCCAAGCCGGTCCCTGAGGAGCAAGAGGCTTGTTCGGCATTCAAATGCCAGCACGTCGCTAGCACCCTGAGCATCGGGTGTTGAAAGCAGGGTCACTGGGCACAGACCACAGGACCATGAGCCTGTGTTGTTCATATCAGTCAGCCTTGGTGGCTCATGCAGCAGGAGAGCATCCAAGTCCCGGCAGGGGCTGGTGGTGCATCAGCTGGGCCCATGGAAAGAGACAGGTGGGCCTTGGTGGTCACCTGGTCCTAGGCCTCTTCAGTGGCCTGTGGCTCTTCCCAGAGGCATCAGCACCACGGCTGCATATCATTTTACCCACCCCTCCCCACCAAGGTCCTGCACAGTCCCTGGGGTGTGGAGAGCGACTAGTGTTTGGACAGATTCAAGCCTCGGACTAACGGGAGGGCACAGCCCTCTCATGGCCACGTGCAAGTCCCAGCTTGGAGGGCAGAGCCCTCCCAGCACAATGATAGCCAACAGCTGCAGTTGTAAGCTTGAACCTGTGGTCCGAGCACGTGGCCCCACGTGCCTGAGTGATGCGGGCTTGATAGAGTTCAGATGCATGTAGTTGAGTAGGATCGAAACCCACGAGAATGTGGTAAACATCTTTTTTTTTTAAAAATATATTTTATTGATTTTTTACAGAGAGGAAGAGAGAGGGGTAGAGAGTTAGAAACACCGATGAGAGAGAATTATCGATCAGCTGCCTCTTGCACACCCCCTACTCGGGATGTGCCCGAAAACAAGGTACATGCCCCTGACCGGAATCGAACCTGGGACCTTTCAGTCCGTAGGCTGACGCTCTATCCATTGAGCCAAACCGATTTCGGCAAATGTGGTAAACATCTTGACCACGCCCTTACTTTGCCTCGAGGAATCTGGCTGTAAAATAAAGACACGGCTTGCTGTCCGAGGCGCTGTCTCTCCGTCAGAGAAGCAGCGTCCCACCCAGACCCAGCTTTCTTCTCTCGTCTGTCTTTTCTCAGTCCTTCACCGCCCCCCTCAGGTTCACCCTGGGCTGTGCTGGCGCGGCACACCGGGGGAGTTTCATTTCTCAGGACAGAGAAACCAAGGCTGACACCAACTTGTCCAAGTCCACTTGGCGTGTCAGCAGCAGAGTGAGGACTAAAAGCCAGGTTTCTTTTCTTTTTTAAAATTTACCTATTAAACCTATTGGTAACATTGGTTAATAACATTAAGTTTCACGTGTACAATTCTATCACACAACATCTAAACACTGCATTGTGTGCTTAGCACCCAGTCTGGCTTATTTCATCGTCGTCTATTTGACCCCCTTTCCCTTCTCCTCCTCCCCCCACCTTCTTCCCCTCCGGTAACCACCACACTGTATCTGTGTCTACAAGTTTGTGTGTTTACTGTGTTTGTTTATTGCTTTCTGTTTTATATCCCACAAGTGAAATCGTACGGTTGTCCTTTTCTATCTCATGTATTTTGCTTAGCATGATACTCTCGAGATCCAAGCTGTCACAAACACAAAAGCCAGGTTTCTAGGGGCGCACATTAGCGCTGTGCCTCTCATCCTCCCCACAGCACTCTGAGGGAGGTGCTGGGTTTTTTAAAAACATAGTTTTATTTATTTCAGAGAGCAAAGGAGAGGGAGGGAGAGATGGAAACATCCATGATGAGAGAGAATAATCAACTGGCTGCCTCCTGCATGCCCCTTGATGGGGATTGAACCGGCAACCCAGAACTGTGCCCTGACCGGGAATTGAACCATGACCTCCTGGTTCATAGGTTGACGCTCACCGGCCAGGCAGGAGCTATTGTTTTAATGCAAAGCTTAGACCAGGCAGCTGGTTGCAGGCCCTAGGCCTGTGGGGCTCAGAGCCAGGTGTTTGGGCACTTAGCTGTGGTGGTTCACTGTTTTAGGTTATGTCTCGAGGTCTGGCAGCTTCCAGTGGCGGCGATGCCTGAGCAGGGCCATGATGGAGCTGGTGCAAGGCAGGGACAGTGCAGTCTGGGCTGAGGTGGGAAGCAGTCCCCCGGGGCTGGAGCTGGAGGAAGAGCCTCTGATTCTGGGCTGCAGGGAGTGAACTTGGCTCACGGCTGCAGGGAGCTGGCCGAGGGGCTCAGCAGGAAGAACACAGTGGATCCCTCCTTCCGAGGAGGGGCTGCAAAGAAGGCTCCCTCCTCTGTACGTTAGGAATAAGGACATCGGCCCGACTGTCAGCAGGAGAGGAAAGGGTGAGAGCTGGCCTGGGAAAGCCGCTTAGGAACAGCTGAGCTCCGGCAAAAGAAAGGGGCGTGCCAAGGGCTGTGTCAGGGGATTAACGAATATTAGCAGCCAATGTTTAGCGAGCCAAGCACCTGCCAAGCACCAT